GCACAGCCGTGCGGAGATAATTGCAAACGTTCTGTGATTATAATATTCCTCTTTGGATATAATCATCCTTGTTCAGTGGAAATCACCCTCCAAGAAGATCAAGAATAGACTATATGTGAAATTCACAGCAGACAAATCAGTGTGAGGGAGACAGATTTGAGGGGAAGTGATAAGTGGAGTAAGGGAGACAGGTGGAATGCCCATATGTCCCCACAGCTACCAACTCGGCTCCCTATCCCAGTCCAGCCCTGCTGCTTTCCTCTCCAGCTTGGATGAGGGTCAGAGGGCAGGCTGCCGTCTCTCTCTTCTCAGCATGGACTCTTGACATTGATGCCGGGGGCTCAGACAAAGTGAGATTCTGTATCTCTAATGCTGCATTGAAATTAAATCCTTGCTGTAAAAGATGGTTTGTTTTTTCTTTTAAAATGATTATAAAACGTTTTATCATATAAATCTTGGATACCATCACATGGTCTCTTATGTTGCCACATATTTACCGTTATTTTAAAGGATATTACATATGGATATAATTGCGAAGCAACCCTCTCCAGCACATCGATGAAATCTGGGTGTTCTTTACTTTCAGTTCCAATTTGCTGTGTGTTTGTCAGTCTTTGTCAGGGGAATGAGATGCCTAGAAGATGTCCATCTATAAACTTGGGTTAGACTAGCCCCTCAAATACTTGGGATTAAACCTAGACTAGCCCCTCAAATACTTGGGATTAAACCTACACTGCAAAAACAATCCAGAAATAAGTAAAAAATGGCTTAAATTAAGTATATTTAGCCTTAATTTGAGCAGGTAAATAAGATGATTTGCCAATGGAATGAGTATTTTCACTCTTAAAATAAGATAGTTAGATAATATTTACTTGAAATAAGACGATAAAATAGTTTTTTCTTATTTTAAAAGGAAATTGTCTTGTTCCATTGGCAAAGTGTCTTACTTATCTCCTCAAATCAAGGAAAAACACACTTATTTTAAGAAAAAATAACTTATTGAGATTTATATTTTTTGCAGTGTAGACTAGTCCCTCAAAGGCTTGGGATTAGACCTAGACTAGCACCTCAAGGACTTGAGATTAAACCTAGACTAGCTCCTCAAGGGCTTGAGATTAAACCTATACTAGCTCCTCAAGGGCTTGAGATTAAACCTAGACTAGCTCCTCAAAGGCTTGAGATTAAACCTAGACTAGCTCCTCAAGGGCTTGAGATTAAACCTAGACTAGCTCCTCAAGAGCTTGAGATTAAACCTATACTAGCTCCTCAAGAGCTTGAGAATAAACCTATACTAGCTCCTCAAGAGCTTGAGATTAAACCTATACTAGCTCCTCAAGGGCTTGAGATTAAACCTAGGCTAGCTCCTCAAAGGCTTGAGATTAAACCTATGCTAGCTCCTCAAGGACTTCAGATTAAACCTAGACTAGCCCCTCAAGGACTTGAGATTAAACCTAAACTAGCTCCTCAAGGGCTTGAGGTTAAACCTAGACTAGCTCCTCAAGGGCTTGAGATTAAACCTAGGCTAGCTCCTCAAAGGCTTGAGATTAAACCTATACTAGCTCCTCAAGGGCTTGAGATTAAACCTAGGCTAGCTCCTCAAAGGCTTGAGATTAAACCTATGCTAGCCCCTCAAGGACTTAAGATTAAACCTAGACTAGCTCCTCAAGGGCTTGAGATTAAACCTAGACTAGCTCCTCAAATGCTTGAGATTAAACCTATACTAGCTCCTCAAGGGCTTGAGATTAAACCTAGGCTAGCTCCTCAAAGGCTTGAGATTAAGCCTATGCTAGCTCCTCAAGGACTTGAGATTAAACCTAGACTAGCTCCTCAAGGCCTTGAGATTAAACCTAGACTAGCGCCTCAAAGGCTTGATGTGTATATATATATATATATATATATATATATATATATATATATACGCATGTATGTATGTGTGTTAATCTATTTTAAGATTTAACTTAAAATATAGAAGGCATCTCTGGCCCCTAAATGTATAAAAAACCTAAAAAAAAAAAAAAAAGTTCTCAATAATTTATCCTAATTTGTAATGCTTTCAGGCCTCAGCTGTAATTCCTGACTATTTATCCCACTCAGAAGTGAAATGACGGCATGACCTGTTCACATTCAGCATCAACACTAACACACAGAGAACCAAATGCTTCACCCTTTAGGTCAAACCTGACCCCCGACTCCATTTGTTTCAATATAACTGTCTGAAGACGTGGCAGGCAGCGAAAGGAGCAAACATGTAATCTAATTCCTCTCTTCTTTGTCTTCATTCACTCAGCGTCATGACAGATAAAGTTAAATGAGAGCAGGGAGGGCAGAGAGACAAATGACAGGGAATGAATGCAAAGACAGAGGCAAAACAATGAAGTTACAGTGAGGTCAGCACAGGGGAGCGTGTTGGAGGAGTGTGCCAGCTTTATCCTCCTCATGAATTCGATGTCATGATTCATTGTCTCTAATCTAGCTGAGAAATGTGTGAGTTCTGCTAATGAAGTGCTGACCCCCTGCGTGTGTACAACGCTGCATTGACTGTTTAATCAGTAGAGTTTAGGCAGAGATCGCTGAATACCTCTGCTGTGATACCAACTAATACTTTCATAGGGATGCTGCTAGCTTTATGTTACTGTTTTATCATCAGATTGCAAACAAAAATGATGCTTTCATGCTGAACATAAGCAGGTTGAATTGTATTTTAGTAACAAGAACAGCTGTCGAAATTAATGATCAATTAATTCATGTTGTCCAGAGTTGCTTGGTGTACAGGAAATAAAGTTAGGACACAGCTTGATTTATGCAACTGTTTAATGGTCAGATCAGTAGTTAAGGGGATCATGATTAGTGGTTATGACTTAAATTGAGAAATATTTATTTTTGATGCAAATACAATACAGTCAAAATACTGTTAGATGTTTAGTTTTAATTCATTTAAATAACATGTTGTTACACAGACTTTGCCCAGTAGTTAATGCTTCTAGTTAGATGACCGTATGCTAGGTCCTGTAGCGCTACCTCTGTCTAGTCAAAACAGCAGTGAGTAACTCATCCATCCATCCATCCATCCATCCACTCATCCACCCATCCATTCACCCATCCGTCCATCCATTCATCCTTCCTTCTATCCATCCATCCATTCATCCATCCACTCATTCATTAATTCATCCATCCATCCATCCATCCACTCATTCATTCATCCATCCATCCATCCACTCATCCATCCATCTATCCATCCACTCATCCATCCATCTATCCATCCATCCATCCATCCACTCATCCATCCATCTATCCATCCATCCGTCCACTCATCCATCCATCCATCCATCCACTCATCCATCCATCTATCCATCCATCCATCCACTGATCCATCCACTCATCCATCCATCTATCCATCCATCCGTCCACTCATCCATCCATCTATCCATCCATCCATCCATCCACTCATCCATCCATCTATCCATCCATCCACTGATCCATCCACTCATCCATCCATCTATCCATCCATCCATCCATCCATCCACTCATCCATCCATCTATCCATCCATCCATCCACTCATCCATCCACTCAGCCATCCATCCATCCACCCATCCATTAATTAATTAATCCATCCACTCATCCATCCACTCATCCATCCATCTATCCATCCATCCATCCACTCATCCATCCATCCATCCACTCATCCATCCATCCACTCATCCATCCACTCAGCCATCCATCCATTAATTAATTAATCCATCCACTCATCCATCCACTCATCCATCCATCTATCCATCCATCCATCCACTCATCCATCCATCCATCCACTCATCCATCCATCTATCCATCCATCCATCCACTGATCCATCCACTCATCCATCCATCTATCCATCCATCCGTCCACTCATCCATCCATCTATCCATCCATCCATCCACTCATCCATCCATCTAGCCATCCATCCATCCATCCACTCATCCATCCATCTATCCATCCATCCACTCATCCATCCATCATCCATCCATTCATTTATTCATTCATTCATTCATCCATCCATCCATCCATCCATCCACTCATCCATCCATCATCCATCCATTCATTCATTTATTCATTCATTCATTCATCCACTCATCCATCCATCCATCCATCCATCCATCCATCCACTCTTCCATCCATTTATCCATCCACCCATCCATTAATTAATTAATTAATTCATTCATTCATCCATCCATCCACACTTCCATCCATCCATCCACTCTTCCATCCATTTATCCATCCACCCATCCATTAATTAATTCATTCATTCATTCGTCAATTTATCCATCCACCCATCCATTAATTAATTAATTCATTCATTCATTCATCCATCCACTGATCCATCCACTCATCCATCTATCCATCCATCCACTCATCCATCCATCATCCATCCATTCATTCATTCATTTATTCATTCATTCATTCATCCACTCATCCATCCATCCATCCATCCACTCAGCCATCCACCCATCCACTCTTCCATCCATTTATCCATCCACCCATCCATTAATTAATTAATTAATTCATTCATTCATCCATCCATCCATCCACACTTCCATCCATCCATCCACTCAGCCATCCATCCATCCACTCTTCCATCCATTTATCCATCCACCCATCCATTAATTAATTAATTCATTCATTCATCCATTTATCCATCCACCCATCCATTAATTAATTAATTAATTCATTCATCCATCCATCCATCCATCCATCCACTCTTCCATCCATCTATCCATCCATCCATTGTTTCCACAGTTTTTTTTAATATAATTGTTTTTCAGAAACAAAAAAGCAATGATGGTTCAACAACCATGAGTTTGGATAATTAACTTTTTAATAAAAATACTACTTTTTAGCTTCATTTATTAAATGTTTTACTCAATAATGCAAATTGAAAGCTTACAGTAAGAATAAGTGTAGCTTTTTTAATAGTTTCTCTAATGATAATAAAGATTTTTTTCTATTTGTTTTTTCGCTCTGCAGGCTTACTTTCGTCAAGGGGTTGCCCTCCAGTACCTGGGTCGTCATGCCGACGCCCTGGCAGCGTTCGCCTCAGGCCTCGCCCAGGACCCAAAAAGTCTCCAGCTGCTCGTCGGCATGGTGGAGGCTGCCATGAAATCCCCACTCAGAGGTAATCTCTTCAGATTGGTAACCCTCTAACCAGCGTTCCCTGTTACTGTATCCCAGCAGTATAGGAAAATAATGAATACATAAAATACATCAACGAAAGTTATTCAATATAACCACATTAAAGATGGTGGGAAAAGTTGCCACTTACTTTTGTTGTTTTATTCAGTTCCTGTTGAAGAGAGATGTAAAAACGTGTAAAAAAAGATGTCTCTAATGATTCAAACCACACAAAGAGACAGCAGAACTCCTCAGCTTTGAAGCAGCTAGATGAGAGAAAAAAGAGGCATGGAGGAGAAGGAAAAAAAGAAGCAATCGAACCAAAGTTGTTGGATGTAACAGAAGAGACTGGCACACAATATAGAACTCAGCCTATTCCCAGTTATTCCCAGAGAAATCTGAATTTCTGTGTGTATTTTACTTATCCAGCGTCTCTAGGGCTTAAGAAATTGTAGTCCCCTTTTTTTTTTTTTTCCAGAATCTGCATGCTGTGGCGAGGAAATTAATGAGGTGATACAGAAAAAAAGTACATTTGGATGAAATGGACATCTTTTCTTGCCTCCTGTGTGTAAATGTTTGTAATTATTGTTGGAACAAGGATACCCGTGGAAAGATCTAAAGAGAATATTGAAAACCTCCCAAAAATTAGATGATATTTTATTTTTGTTTTAAAGGTCAATTTTTTACTTTATATGTCCTTTTAAAAAAAAACACCAAAAAATTTAGATCAGGAAAATATAAGGTTGAATACATCAAACATCCATCCCAATTTTGATAAGAAGCCTTGAGATCAAGGAAAGTCATATCTCCATGTCAAATCATTCTGGCTTAAACACAAAACATGCAAAAAAATGTATGACGGAGGAGACTCATCCACGACCTCCGACACTAAACTCTCCTCCTCTTGCATGTTTCCTCTGTCCATAGCGTTCCTTGACAGTGTCGTTTCTAAGTCACCAATTTAGTGCTACTTGCTCCCAATGGAATTTCCCATTGGGAACCTACTAGCACTAAGTTGCTAACCGGTTAGCAGGATGGTTCCAACAAATCGGCCACAACCAAACTTGCTTGCGAACCTTCCGCCACAACAATGTAAAGTCCGGCACCACTCAGGAGAATTCAGAAATGCAACGGTTGGAACAGCCGTTTCACTACGACTTTAAAGAGAAAATCATCATTATCATCATCTGACAACTGCTCCAATTTGCTTTTAAAACACAAATTTACGGCGGTTGACTTAAAATATGGTGTCAGGGGTCCTAGGTCTATAGTAGTGGGGTGATTAAGTTTAAAACACTATAGCCTCAATTTTCATCTTTTTAAAATGTAAAAAGTTCAGGGGCAGCCAAGCTTAAATGTCATCTAAACAGTCAAATAAAGACTTCACTGAAAAAACATCTCCCTGCTTTAGGGGCAAATAGGTCTGGCAGTCATCTGTATAAATGTGGAAATAAAATAAATGTATTTTCACTATGGAACCGAGTGGCAGCAAATACAGAGAAAAGAGCAGGGGCCCTAGAATGAAGCCTTGTGGGACTCCGTAGGATAGAGAACAACTAGATTATTCGGAGTTGCCAATTTTGACACATAAAGATTGTTTGGTCCGATATGATCTGAACCAGTTGAAAGCAGTGGGCTGGATCCCTACTTATTCATTTAGACTTATTAGAATATGATGGTCAACCGTCTAAAGCAGCCGTTAGATCAAGCAGAACTAAAATCATATAGCTACCAGAGTCACATGCCAAGAGAATATAGGAAGAGCGGAAAACAGGGGAGTGGCGGCCTAGTGGTTAGGGCATTGCGCTTGGGATCCAGAGGTTCTGAGTTCAAGCCCCAATCCCACAGACTGCCACTCTCGGCCCCTTGGCAAAATACCCATACTGCCCCCTGGGCGCCGTAAAATGGCAGCCCAGTGCAACCCATTGAGCTGATGGCTGCTTCTTCCGGATCAAACCAAGAGCCTTGGCAGACAGGGTTGCTGCACTAGCTGTGATCAGTTACTTCACCTAGTGTGATTAGATGTCTAGATGTCTATTAGTAGCTAAATGATGTTTTGTAATCATAACTATTTAACAAGAAAAATTCCTCATAAGCTTCCTGCAGCCTGGAACAAAGCTATGCCCAACTGTTTTGTCACGTGACTAAATGAGCTCATTTGATTGGCTAGATGCTGCTCCACTGCATCGAGTGCTGATTTGCTTTGGCTTCAGTTAACCAAAAGGTCAACAAATTTGCAGTTACAATTTTTGGAGTTGAATTTTTTGCAGGCAAATTTTTTGCTGCTGAATTTTTAGCAGCTGGATTTTTTTGCAGCTGAATACTTTGTAGGCAATTTTTTACCAGATATAAATTCAGTGTAAGGTATACAATGTGTAAAAAAAGTCATTTTTAAAAATTCAGTGTAAAAGAAAATTCAGGATTTAAAATTTGTTGTACAAATGGCAGATTTCTATTGAGACTGTTTTTCTTCCATATAAACCTAATGAGCATTGAAGATCATTCTTCATGTATTCTTTTACCAAACATAATGGACAGGGAGTTCTGCTCTTTATGCACGGTTAAACATTTTCAAAAAGACAAAAAAAAAAAATGCAGCTCTTCTAATGTTAAACCCTTGCCATGAAAAGCAGAAACATAAAGAGACTTTAGATGTCAATGGGAGTACGATGTAGCCTCTAGCAGCAGCTATGACAAATGGCATGAAACAGAATCCTACAGTAGAAGGGGCTACTGCTGATGTTATACATGATGGTGGGGTTGTTGTGCCACCCAGTAGCAGCCATCCTCAGAACTTCATCCGCTGTAATCTTCAAAGATACTGATCCTCCATGTGTTGCTGGATTGCAACGCTTGATGAGCCGCAGGCAGAGTAACAGGTGGGACCACAGTGAAGGCCGAAGGACTGTGAGGGGGTGGAGGGGGGGCTGCAGACCAACAACCGTGAGGTGGAGGGTTTTTCTCAGGCTTCCACGTGACTTTTTTTAAGGGTTTTTAAAAAAAGATTAAGTATGTCTAATGCTACGTTCACACCGCAGGCAGCAGAAGCAGCAGAAGCAGCTAGTTCAGGGTTCCATAAAAAGTCTTAAAAGGCATTAAATTCCTTAAATTAAAGGCCTTAACTGGTATTTATTGTATTAAATCAGTGTTTCATAGGTCTTAAAATTGTCACCATGTCATAAATAGAACTTTATTTTGTATAATTCATATAAAAAATTAAAATAATTCACGATAATGTTTTTACCATGTTTACCAAACGGCTTAGCTGGAAACATTTTTAATTCCATCCTAACAGCAGAACCAATATAAACCATGTTGCAAACAGACCTTGGGGTGATGCGCCAATAACTTTTTATCTGGACAACATGGGGAAGTGTAAATTTAATGAAAATTGGCTATCCAGCCAAGAGTTTTCTGCACAGCTTAAATCAGTACCAGGTAACATATATGAGGAATGGCGGATTTTGAGCAAGAAATCATTCAAGCTCGGCACGATAGGAATCAAAGCTGTGGAGTCAGTCATGTGAAGAGTGAAAAACAAAGCGGCAGTTTTAGAGATGCAGCAGCTATTTCTTAGTTCTGTTCCACCCTTGTCTCTGCAAGGCCTCTACAGCCAGAGATGGGAAGTAACGAAGTACAAATACTTCGTTACTGTACTCAAGTAGATTTTTCTCATATTTTTTCTTTAGTTTACTACTTATTTTTATGGCGACTTTTTACTTCTACTTCTTACATTTTTACACAAATATCTGTACTTTCTACTTCTTACATTTTAAAAAATTGTCTCGTTACTTTAGTTTTGAATCATTTCAATGGAGTTACCGTTATTATTTTTCATGTCATCAATACCAAATTCAATCTAATTGGATGGGAATCTACGTTGCATTTGACGCACCACAACAAGATGAATCGACAGATTCGGCGGTATTCATTCGCGGCAAATCATTGCAGCTTGGTGGCGGTGGCGTTAGCATAGTAGCATGGACGACGAGATGATTGAAAATGAACACAACGGAGATCTAGTCCTATTGGCAGACATCCATTTAAAATGTAGGCAACGGCATGAAAAAAGTGGTTTCTACTTTTACTTTTATACTTTAAGTAAATTTACAAGCCTGTACTTTGTTACTTTTACCTGAGTAAAGAAGTTTAATCAGTACTTCCACTTTTACCAGAGTATTTTTTAACACAAGTATCTGTACTTTTACTTAAGTACGGAAAGTGAGTACTTTTGCCATCTCTGTCTACAGCCATCGTCAAGAAAAGCACCAGTAGCACCAAATCTCCAGATAATGTTTGGTGATTCGCCTGCAATGAAAGCAGAGCTATTATGGACTTTGAGTAGGGATCAAAACAAAGTTTGTGAATTCCATTCATTAGTTGTTAAAATATATCTGTTTAGCGTGTTTTCTACAACAGAGTATTAGGGCCATGCTACAGTTTTTTGCTTCTTTTTTTTGTTTTTTTTTTTAAATAAGTCAAGTCAAGTCAGCTTTTATTGTCATTTTCTACATATGTACAAGACATACAAGGGAAATGAAATTACGTTTACTCTCTGCAATATACAAATATACAAGAAATAAACAAGATTGACATTTAAAAACTGACATAAAGTGCGGGACATGACAGGTAACAGTGGTAAGATAAATATAAATATGAAGTATAAACATTACAATAAAAAGCAATAAAAACAGCAGCAATAGTTTGTTCCAGGCTGAGGTCGTGCAGGTAAGGTGCAGTCTCTGGTACAGTGTATGTGTGTGTGTGTGTGTGTGTGTGTGTGAGAGAGAGAGAGAGGGAGGGGCAGTCTTAGCTTCCTGTCTGCCTGGTGGCTGGAGCAGACCGTGTGGGGAGGGGGTGGAGGGAGTTCAGCATTCTGATGGCCTGGTGGATGAAGGTGTTCGCCAAAAGTTGTAATATTATGAGAATGAAGTCATCATACAACAACCCGTTTCACAAAGAAAGCTTCGAGCTCCGACCAGCTCCACCGAAAAGCAACCTGAGTCCGCTCTGACATACCGCCCAATTTGATGCTTGTCAGAGTTAGATGAGGATAGAAGCAGCTATAGGTTGTTTACAGAGGATTTAACTGAAACAAAGTTGTAAAATGTTACAGTTTTATAGCACAGTAAATGTTACTGAGTAACAATAAGTGGTCTGTAGTTATGTGGTTAATTTTTCTCACAATATCCATTATTTTCAATATTCTGGTGATTTTCAGAAAACTGAAGTAAAGCAGAAAGGGCCCTACTAAAATACTTGCAACTTAAAATATACTTTAAACTACGAATTTTACAACTTTGTTTATTAATAATTCTATGCAGTTCAAGCAACATAGCAAATATTACTGGCACTTATAGAGGAACCACTAAAATCGAATCCTGTGCAAACTACACTGTGTATGAATATTTGGTAATACGCTAAGGATTCAAAAACTTAAGTTATTATCTGATTATTATAATTTTTTTTTTTTTACAATTGACAAAACAGCTCAACAATTCAGACCTTCTAAAAAGCTGTAGATTCTATAAAAACTCTCCATGACACAAGACAGCCTTTCTGTTGATGTTTGCTTTTGGTAGATGTGATGGAAATTAAGTTTTTAAACGTATTCAATGGACCAAAATAGGAATAAATGAATAAGATAAGTAATAATAAAATGAGAACATCCCTCTGGTTCCTCCTCTGTCAATCCTGGATAACTCAGTTGTTCTGCACATCCTCTCTGTATGTGGTTGGTCCTTTCTTGGGTGGCTGATCTTTTAAAAAATAAAATTGTTTTGTCAAATTTTAACCTACTAAATGTGCTTTTTAAAATTTTAAAATTCATATACTGTACAAAGCTTGTTTTTTGCCAGCAACAGTGAAGAATGTTTTACTCTAAAGAAGTCAACCTTACTTTTTATACATTTGTTTTTAATTTTACCTCTGAAATTGGATAATTTATTGACTTAATTTCTACCAGGCTCCCTCTGCGTTTATACTGCCATAAGGACAATCAAGGTTGGAAGATCTGATTTTGGTGTTTCTTCGTCTCACAATTTATCATTCCTGCACCCCATTACTCTGATTTTTTAGATCATGATGTCTTCAGATAACAATCATCACTGGCAGAAGGAATTTCTACAACATAATGGAGATAAAACCTGCAGATAAACGACCCTGACTGGAAGATTAGCCTCTTTACATTTTTCATGCATGATTTATCAGGAAAAAAAAAACAATTGTACATTAAAATAGGATTAAACAACGAGAAACTCTGTATTACGTAGTTTTAACTCACAGTCTAGACCAGAGGTAACCAATTAAAAATTAGTGGGATCCGAATAAATAAAATCATCAACGAGTAAAGGTCCGGAGACATTTTTAATTATAGTCTTTTACCTTAAACAGAATTTGACACTGAAATAAAATGAGGTTTTAATGCATCCATGTTATACATTGACTTAAAAAAAAGGAAAATATAAAGAAAAAATAGAAAATTTTTTCCTTTTAAAATCTAAAGTGTTTCTTGAAGTAGAGAACAGTTTTTTCTTTTTTTTCTGTCTTAATGAGAGCAGTGGGCTTTATGCTGCCCTGCAAGGCTTTAAACCTGGGTTTGAATGGAGACTAAGCCATTCTAAAGCACAGATCAAGGAGCTCATTCTGAGCCTGGATCCATATTTATTTTTGATTCTGTTAATGGTGGAGAATCCTGCTTCACAGCAGCAGGTTGAACCAAACATCCTCTAAATGTTCAGGGTCATCTTTGAGCACCATTTAACTTTTCTTTCACCAGTTCACCACAGTTCTTCCAGCAGTCCACACTTTCTCTGCTCTCTTTTCCTCATCATCTTCTCCATCTTTCCCATTGCCCGACTTGCCACAGGTTTGCCTGCTGTGTCTAAAAGTGGCAGCAGCAGCGACCCAGACTGACAGCAGCTCATTGGATCATTTGGATCACGTGTAGCCTGTTGCCGGACACTCCGGAGGGCTTTACCGTATTAACAGGAGAAGCGGCGCAAGTGAAGTTAGACACTGCTGTCGGACAACATGCAGTAATTTATAAATGTTTTAAATCAGCTAGGGTCCAGATTAACCAACAGGTGGGACCGGATCGGCACTGCGGTCTGCTAATCCGTGACCTCTGACCTAGAACATCACAATAGTTCTTGAAACATTAATGCACCATTTAAGCCACTTATACCATAATCCCACACAGAAAATATTTGACAACAAATGTTTATTTTCATTACAAAACTCACAAAATTTGCTTCAATAAAGGAAAAAGTTTATGTGGACCAGGTCTGATGATAATCGTATCAGATTTTGTTCTACCTGTATTTCCTCTTCCTCGACCTACTTCTGGTCGACTCTGAACTGTAAAAAAAAAAAAAAAAAAAAAAAAAAAAAGAGACAAATATGAGAATTCTAAGTCGGAATTGTCTCTCATTACATCTTTAATTAAGAAAGGTTGTGAAAATTTGCATTTAAAAATAATAATAATCTGCTTGTCTTTTCTATTATTATATTGATATAGTTTGATATCGATAAGTTTCTAGATCGTGACTTTAGGCTCTTTATCAGATCTTGTTTCCCAGGAAGCTTATCTGATATGTAGATATTATTTTTGCTCCAATGTTATGTTGAAAATATTTTATTCAGATGAGTAGAATGTAATGAGTACATATGAGACGTCATATTTAGAAGACATGCTTCAGGGTTAAAGCTGATATGATGTGCTGAGTTTCCTCAGGCATCATATAGGCACAGTGAGACACTAAACCCCAGAGAAATCTCTTCTGGAAATGTTTTAGCAAGTAAACAACATCCAAACATGCCTGACTAGTTCTATGGCTGATTGTTGTGATGTCAGAAACCGAATAAGTTATTTATTTTGTTTGTATGTTTGTGCCTGTCTCCTATAGACACGCTTGAGCCCACCTACCAGCAGCTGCAGAAGATGAAGCTGGACAAGAGCCCGTTCGTGGTTGTGTCTGTCATCGGCCAGGAGCTGCTGACACACGGTCACCACGGGGCCTCGGTTGTAGCGCTGGAGGCAGGGTTGAAGATCGGCACTTGCTCTTTAAAGCTTCGTGGATCGGTCTTCTCTGCTCTGAGCTCAGCGTATTGGAACCTTGGAGATGTGGAGAAAAGCATGGCTTACATGCAGCAGGACCTGGAAGTTACCAAGACTCTAGGTATGGAGAAACTAAGAGGATGAATGGTGTGGAAAAGAAAACCGCTGCAGTGACTAACGTACGGTTTGCTCCTGTCACAGGTGACCAGTCGGGCGAATGCCGTGCTCATGGGAACCTTGGCTCTGCGCTGTTCTCTAAAAGCAACTACAGAGAAGCGCTGGCTCACCACAGGAACCAGCTGGTACTGGCCATGAAGCTCAAGGACAGAGAAGTATGTCTGCATCCAGTTTAATATATTTAAAAAATTGGCATTTATATGGAGATAATTTTGTTGCAGTATTTTTCCAAGCAAAGAACACATTTTATAAATTGAAATTTAAAAAAAGAGAATTGAAACACAGAAATAATTTTCTTAAGAACTTTCCAATAGAGCTACGCCTATTAATTACTCTTATTAGATTATTTGATTCGTGTATAAGTAATTTTTTTGAGTAATCTAAAGAATACCAAATTTCTAAATTACCAAACATTTGTAATATAGAGAAAGAACTCTATTGCACATTTTAAATGAATTGCATATGGTATATCTATATAACTGTTTGTGTATAAAGAAAGAATTGGATGTGATTGTTAAAATTCTACTTTTTCTTTAAAAAACATTTATAGTTTGCAGGGTTTTGTCTCAATTACTGCTATAAGTAGTGATTTTGAGGCATTATTCTAGGTAAGAATTTTATTCAGTTTGAAGAAATTAGTTGACAGTTTTTGTTCATTGTTCAAGGATATAAAATGTATAAATATTTATTTCAAATTTTGGTCTCTGAAGTGATGGATCAACACAAAGAAGTGCCTAACTATTAAGTAAAGGAAAACAGGTTGTGTGATATTTAAATTATTTTCCCGAGAACAATCTATAAAAAGTGCTAAACATATGGATAAAGGCCCTCTGTGTCATAACTGGTAAAAAAATCTTTTTTCAATTCAATTTACTGGAATTTATTTATGTAGCGCAAATTCACAACGCATGTCATCTCATTGACTCATTGACTCAAAGGCGATCTCTCACGCCAAGTATGCTTGTAGCGACAGTGGAGAGGAAAACTCCCTTTTAACAGAAAGAAACCTCCAGCAGAACCAGGCTTAGTGTGAGCGGCCATCTGCCGAGGCCGACTGGGGTTCAAGGAGACAGAAGCAGACATAGAAAAAGAAGCATAGATACAAAAGGTAACTGTCAACCAGCTCCACAGGCGGCCCCGTCCAGGAAACAGACAGCCTGGCAGCCGAGCTCAGACCCAGCTCCCATTTCAGAGGATGAAGAGAGCACACACAGATAGTCAGAGAAACAGGACTACACTGAAAAACAGGCCAGCCCCAACATCTATAAATAATGGTATTGATGGCAGCAGCACAGCTGATATTTCTCTCCAGGATGGAGTCACAGCCAAACAGGAAGAGACCAGATGAAGCTACTATGATGAGAAAAGCAGAGCATAAAGTTAGAGATTGAACTAACAAATACTGCAGAATGGGAGAATAGAAAGAGGATGAAGCAGACTGATGAAAAGTGGTTCCTATGTCCTCCAGCAGTCTAAGCCTATAGCAGCATAACCATACAGATAGCAAAATATATCCTGAGCCCCTCTAACTATAAGTTTGATCAAAAAGGAAGGTTTTCACTTCAACGATGATTAATGATTGAAAAAACTAGAATATTTTATAAACTCATTCTGTTTAAGCGTCTCCATTTTTTCTCTTTCCTTCCTGCAGTGTTTGTACCAAGATTAAAATTAACTTTAAATTACAGTTTCCTTTTACTTCATATGCACTTGATTGTGTTGGACTATTTAAAAAGTCCTGACAAGTTTAAGGGGAGTAAATACTTTTGGAAGAGCCTGTTTAATGGTAGAACTTTTGGAAATGTAGGATATATTTGTTAGATTCATGTTGGTCTTTATTTTTTTCCTCCTCATTAGTAAAACAGAAGTTTTTCTAACCTTCATCCCCAACGGCAATTTTTTTATGATCCTGGATTAGGCTGATTTATAATTAATAATTTTAGTACTCTAGGCTCCCTGCTGCGTCTCTTGGTTCCTCTAAAGGAGAAAAACAATAAATTTTCTTCAGACGTCCATCTGATTTTCTCCTCTGTTGTTTCCATAGAGAAAAAGATTATAAGCATGAATTGTTTTCTTAGACCAGGAGATGTTGCCTTGCTTACAGAGCACAGAGGATGAAACCCTGAAAAACAAAAAAGCAGCAAAAAAAAGTATAATCCATGTAAAAATAATCTATATCTGTATTAAGAATGTTAGTTTGTGATTTCAAGAATAAGATCAGTTTTTATTATATTTTCCAAACAATAAGGAGAAAAAAAAGAGAGAATTTTACAGGGATCTCTGACCTTTTTGGCAAAACATTTTAAAGGTCCCATATAATGCAAAATTCACTTTATAAACAGTTTGTAACAATCATTTATGTGTCCTTAAGCCTGTGTAGGAGGTTCAAAATGAAAAAAAATCCTTTCATCTCTACCTCCCTTTTTCCATCTCTTAGCTACTGTGGGTTCAAAAGGCTCAGTTCAAAACACATTCTACTTATGATGTCATTAGGGGAAATAAACTGTCCTAAGTAATCTGTAGCAGCTCATTAAGGCCTTCATCTAATGTACGATTCCACACTCCTAGGATAGTTTTACAAACTCTGGCTGCTTGTTGCGGGTTGTAGGGGTGAGAAAAGGCCAATACTGCTCGTCCAGAGGAAGCTTGAATAACAGACAAAACTTTTTTGGTAAAAGGTTAATGCTCACGATGAATCCCTGTAGTTTCATCATACATTGTGAGCTGTAGCTGCGTACAACGATTGAAAAAATCGCACAGTGTATGCCCGGCTTTAACCAGAGGGTGTGCACTCAAAAACCTACAACACAGCAATAGAGTTGATTAATTCCTGCTATCATTTCAACCCCCACCACCATGCAGGGGACCAAAATATCTCACCTGGTCACCTGCCCCATATTGACTCCCCTTTTAGAGGCATTGACCCGTATCGGGTATTGCAGGCTGACAAAATATCTCAAGGACTCCCCCTTCCTAAGGGGCGGAGCTGTTCTTCAGGTTCAATTCGCATGTTTTCTAAGCCAAAATAAGGCTTTCTTTGGGCTACTCTATAAAGCTTTAACCTCAACAGTAATTCTGACATTTTGAATTGAAAAAGGTTTCCTGGATGGGAAGCAAAACGTCTTCAACTTTGGAATCAAAGTTTTTTTTCTTTTATTTTTTTGAAATGACTATGACCTGGATGACTGAGGATCTTCACCACCAATCAGAGGGGAAATGGGACTGGTTGCTTAAAGATCCCTCCTCTTATTGGTTTTTCTAGGTGCTGGGGGATTGGCTACATTGTGCTAAAAGGGGTGTGGTTTTAGATCTAAGATTAGCATCATAATTTAGATATGAATTCAACATTTATGGTGATAATTTTTTCCCTAAATGTTAAAAAAGCATTAAGTGTGAGGAAATTGTGCAATAGTAAGAGGACTGTGAGTGATTCTTTTTTTTTTACTTTCTACATTCAAAATAGTCTGTACAGATATCTAAAGTTAAGTGGGTTCAAAGCCCTATTATTTTACCCACTTTAGTTGTTTTATTTTTACAGAAACATCTAATTCCTCATTAAATTGATTAAATGTGTTTCCTCTGGCCTGGCTGTTTTATTTCAGCTATATTTCAGTTGAATTGCAGTTTAGGTTCAGGAGCTTCACTTCCGTTACCGAAGGGAAGCACTCGGCACACAGTGATCCGGGGATTTATCTCTTAAACACCTGCCAAGAAGAAGAATAAATGTTTAAGACAAGTTATTTAAATAAAAGCATTGAAACAGCAGCTCAGTGGATCAAAATGTTTTCCTCTTTTTTTTATTTGTGTGTCACATTGCCACATCCATCAACATTTTATATCAAATAGATGTGTCAGATTGGCACAGGCTGAATCTGAGGATGCAGTGAGATCGAACATAGTTGTTTTTCTATGTTTTTTTTTTTCAGTGCTGCATGGGGTGACAACTGTGTAGTTTACTGTCGTTTATTGCACTTCCCATCCTGAGGTGGCTCACACGTGGCCATCAACAGAAATCTATATCCTCCCACTGTGCGTTTGCTCTGCTGTTGTACGTGTGTTTATCTGTGCAGCAGGATAGGGTTTCCGGAAAGCGTGGATCCAAACAAAGACTTGGCCTGCAGATAGCTGATATTTAACCAGCAGTGGGTGACAGGAAAATGGGGAACAGCTCCATCAAAAGATTCAGTCTGGAGAATCCGCAGCAGTCAGAGTTAAGCCCAGTCACTTATTAGACTCAATTCAGTGTAGAACATTCAAGCAATCAATTGGCTTTATTGAGCAAATCTGAAACATAAAGATGTTTTTTTTCTGGTTTGCATAATCTCAAATCAATTGTGATAAATAAAATTCTTAGCCTTAGAGTATAGCATCATAAGAACATTGTGCATTAATTATATGTCAGCTTGTACACCTAAATTCGGCCAATCATATATCAACGGTCATCTGTCAATCAAATTTTTTTGGTCACAGCATCTTGATTCACATGTCGCAGCTAATATACGCAAGGGTCTAAGTAAGAAATAAAAATAATTTCCTTTCCCATTGAGTTCCGTCCCAGTGTTCACGGGGATGGACGTCTGTGTCTTCAGCAGGCGTAGAGCTAACAGAACTGGCAGCGTTGCGAGGCAAGGGCTCAAATGTATGGCTGTAAGCCTTCTACACCAAACCAAGCTTTTGCCGCCCTGGGGTCCTCTTCCACAACAACTTCATCCCCGCTTTCCTCCTCTAAATTGCATGATTCCTCTATCCATAGCATTCCTTGACAGTGTCGTTTCTAAGTCACCAATTTAGTGCTACTTGGTCCCAATGGAATTTTCCATTGGGAACCTACTAGCATTAAGTTGCTAACTGGTTAGCAAGATGCTTCCGACGAATCGGCCACAATCAAACTTTCTTGCAAACCCTCCGCCATAACAATCCCGCTCTATTGATAAAGAACCAATCACATTCAGTTCATTCGCTCATGTAAAGTTGTGTTCCACTCGGGAGAATTCAGAAATGCAAAGGTTGGAACCCCGTTTCCCTTTAAGCTGCTCTTATATGGTTCTGCAGTGCACTAGAGACTGACATTTTTTCGGGAATCCCACGGGTCATTCCCATGGGATTCCCGTGGGATGGGAGTCAGTATTAGTAACGATCACGTGATTGGGACGGT